GCTCTTAACTTCACACGAGCGGCAGCGAAACAAACTATTACAGTTAGACAGAACACATGGCCCATGGTTTTGGTAGCACAACAAATTCTAAACGTTGATGCAACTTTTATTGAGGACTTGCATTCGGGGTCATGTGGGGCGATAGTTAGAGACCATGGAGGTAATTTCATTGCTGCTTCTACTTCTCGCCTTGAGCATGTGGCAGATGTCGATTAAGCGAAAGCGGCGACATTACTTGAAGGTTTAAAGTTACTTCAAAGTATGGGGTCGATGCTATACATCTGAATGAGGGACATTCTATGGTGGCGGCTCTAGTTTTAGATGATTGCAGAGAGTTATTACGAGAGTTCGGGAAGGTTATTATTGCGCACTGTAATAGATAACCAAATGTAATTGTTCATGAGCTAGCTAAGTGGGGGCGTGCAAACACCCCTTCTTTCTGGATGGATGCACCTCTGGATACTATTGCTAAATTTTTAGCAGACAATGTAAGCATTATTTAAGATTAATAAAGGTAGCCATGAAAACCTTCCCGTAAAAAAAAGAATTGATCTAGAAAAAACCCTTTAAACCAATAGCAAATTATGTTGTGTTCATACGGCAAAATAGGGTGTGTTTCCTGTGGCGACTTAATTAGTTTCTTTTTTGCCATGGCATTTTTTTTTCACCGTGGCAACTAATTTTTAATTCCCATGGCAATTTGTAGTTTTTTTCCTGTTTAGTCACATGACAAAAAAAAATTAATCATCATGTCAACCTGGTAAATTTATCATATACACATGGAAACTTCGAATACGGCCTTTTTTTTTACTTTGGATGGAAAATTATCATACCACTAGATGGCAGCTCTTTTGTTCCCAAGACATTGGTCACAGCACATGCCAAGTCATTTCGAATTAACATGTCAATCGGCAACATATGGCAAACCAAAAATAACTCTTACAATTTATATATAGGTTGGCAATTGCTTACAAAAGTAGGAAAAGAAAAGATTTTAAAATAATGAATAAGAAAGAAAAAGAAATATAGGATAATCAAATTATCAAATACGTTCCTTTTGTTTTTGAGTTGATCAAATACGTACCAAAGGGTAAATGACAATGCAAATAAAAAATAACGGTCCCATAGACGAAAACGGCTTGGAAAAGCCCATAACCTAGCGCGGCAGCGCCCGATGATGATAACGGGCCACGCGACGCTAGCATGTCAACTCGTACGCGTTTGTCAAACCTGTTGGAGATATATTGCAGGGCATCGGGGCAAAGAGTTAATAATGGCAAATCATCCATATTTTTCAGTAACGGGTGTCCTCAGAGCCAGAGAGATGGTGTGAAGGATTGTCTGAATGTGCATAATGAATCTCTTAATGACCGATATTTGGGATTACCAACTGATGTGGGACACTCTAAGAATGGCACTTTTAAATACCTCCGTTATAGGGTATGGGAGAAGGTGGATGGGTGGATGGAAAAGCTTTTGTCAGCAGCCGGGAAAGAGGTGCTCATAAAGTCAGTTGCTCAAGCAATCCCGGTGTACTCCATGTCTTGCTTCCGCCTCCCAAGGGGCCTGTGTGAGAGTGTGTCATCAATAATCAGACAGTTTTGGTGGGGCTCTAAGAGAGGGAAGCGAAAACCTGCGTGGGTAGCATGGGATATCATGATACGACCGAAGTATATGGGGGGTATGGGCTTCCGTGATCTGGAGCTCTTCAACTTGGCACATCTAGCCAAGCAGGCTTGGAGAGTAATGACCGAACCTGATTCTTTGAGTGGAAGAATCTTGAAGGCTATATATTATCCAAATTGCTCCTTGCTAGAAGCTGAACTGGGATCACATCCGTCGCAGATATGGAGAGCATTGTTAGATGGCAGAGATGTTTTGGCGCAGAGTATAATCCGTAGGATCGGCCATGGTGAGACCACCAATATTTGGAGTGATAACTGGATTCCAAGAGAGAGCTACAAACGGCCGATCACCTCCCTTGTGCCCTCGCCACCCCAGACTATTTCTGAGCTCATTGAGACTTCAACTGCTTCATGAAGAGGTCAGCTGATACATTCGGTCTTCACACCGTTTGATGCTGAAGCTATACTCAAAATCCCTGTGTGCACACGAAGAGTGGATGATTTTTGGCCATGGGGCAAGGAGTCGAGAGGAAACTTCACAATTAGTTCGGCCTATCGTATGATGGTTCGTACCAAGTTCAATAGGGAGGGCTGGATCGAGGAGCGACTGGGTTCTTCAAGCACGTAGGCAGAAGGAAAAGAATGGAAATCCTTATGGAAACTCCAGATCCCGTCCAAAGTGAAGGTGTTCTTATGGCGTTTGGCTCGACATTCCGTGCCAGCGGGGGAGCTCCTGCAGCGACGCAACATGGCTACCTCAGCCTCGTGTAATCTGTGTGGAGTTCATGACTCCTGGCGACATGCACTCTTTGATTGCCCCTCGTCTGGAGCACCTGGGCTTTGTCTTCGGATGTGATCTTGGATCATCTTAGCTCAAACAGGATGGAGTGTGCAAGGAAGTGGTTGTTTGAAGCGCAAAAAGCTCTATCTGATGAGGCGTTTATCAGATTGGGAGTCTCACTTTGGTCCATTTGGAGAGCTCGCAGGAAAGCTATCTACGAAGATATTCATAAAAGCCCGTATGCAATTCACAGTTTCATCAATTCCTATTTAGATGAAACAAAAGTTTTGCTGCCAGACAAACGGAGTAGAAAAAGCACAAGGGTGCATCCAACCGGCTGGATTGCACCGCCGGACAACTTCTCAAAGCTCAACGTAGATGCTACGGTACATCGCCAAGGGCATGTTGGGGCTGTGGGTGCTATCTGTCGTGACCAAGCGGGGGTTTTCCTTGGAGCATCTGCTATGGTGTACAACAATGGTGATCCGGCTACTTTGGAGGCGATGGCCATTCGTGAGGGATTGGATCTGGCTACAGACTTGCATATCCAGCAGAGACAACTCGCTTCAGACTGTAAGGGAGTGATTGAAGAAACTCTGAGTGAAAGTGAAGCTACTTATGGGGCGATCATCAAGGAGATCAAGCAACAAAAATCTACCTTTATTTCTTGTAATTTAGTTCATGAATTTAGGAGCTCAAATGGTGAGGCTCACAACCTAGCGAGACATGCATTAACTTTGGGACCTGGCCGCCATGTTTGGTTTGGCCAGCCCGTGGGGATCACGTTCGTCCATGTAAACATTGTAACGTTTTGAAATAAAAGTTTCGCGAGGTTGTCTAAAAAAAACTCAGTACGCGTCTGCCGTTCGTTTTTGCAGGAATCACTGCGCCGCTTTTGATCTGACGGCTGAGACATTACTTAGCAAAACCTGGTATTGCATCCGGAGACGGTCTTCTCGCCCGCAGAGGTACGATCTGTATTCTGAGTTGATCAATCATGAATCGGCCAGGCACACGTTGCGTTTTGATGCAGCTGCGATGGCTCTGAGCGAATCTATCCAGAAAGAGGTGATGTCCGGCGACGCCAACGCCTGTGCCGCCGCGTGCCTCCCGCTGGACGTCCTTGCGAGCATCCTGCTCCGCTTCCCGGCGAGCGACCTCCGCCGCTTCCGCCGTGTCTGCAAGGAGTGGCGCGACGTCATCTCCGACCCTGCCTTCATCGACGAGCACACGGTTCACGGACCGCGGGCCCTGACCCACACCGTCGTGTTCTTTCCCGGACGAAGCTGGATCCAGAAGGCCGAAGGCTCGGACGGCGGCAGCGGGTTCCTCTTCGACGAGCAGTGGCGACTCACGGCCACGTTCACGGCAGACAGGTCGGAGGACATGATAGGCACTTGCAACGGACTGCTCTGCTTCCTCGACCGCGGCCAGGGCTCCATCACCGTCGTGGAGCCCTTCACCGGTGAGTCCCTTGCCCTTCCGTTGCCGCCGGAGACGCCGCGGAGGCACGAGCCCAGCGCCTACTGCTTCGGCTTCGACCCCGGTTCGAGGCGATACAAGATCCTTCACAAGGGATTCCAGGATGGCTCCGGTGAGCAAGCAGTGCACGTGTGCACGGTCGGAGGCGGCGAGAGCTGGAGGAGCGTGCACGCCGGCGGCGGCAAGACCCACCGTGGCCCCGCGTGCGCCGACGGAGCGGTGTACTGGTCCGTGGCAGGGGAGGACCGGGAGACGAGGATCGCGCGCCTCGACCTGGCGACGGAGGAGGTGACGTGGGACTCCATGCAGAACCTGATCACGCCGGCGCCGAGCGCGACGACAGGATCGGACGCACGGGTGTGCGTGATGACCCTCGGGCGGTGTTACGGGTACTGGGACGCGCTGTTCATCGGAGACGGCGGCCGCTGCTGGGTGCACGGGCTCGTGAAGCTGCCTCCCCTGCGGCGTCCCTCGCTGGGGCAGTCGTTGCAACGGGGGCACCTCCTGCTGGAGGACCGTGGCGACGGCGACATGTACGCTCACCCGATTGTGCCGTTGAGGAAAGGTGTGGGCTTGGGGAAGCTGCTGCTCAAGATGGGCAAGGAGGAGGAACCGGCCATGGCCAAAAGCTCGTCGAGCAGCCAGCACGAGGAGGAGCCGGCCATGGCCAAGAGCTCGTCGAGCAGCCAGCACGCTGACGGGACGCCCAGGTTGTTCACCGCGGTCCCGTTCAGCCAGGAGCCGGCGGCCCGAGCGCCACATGAATCAGGCAATGCAAGAACGTTTTGCTATGCCCCGACGGTGTCTCCTGCTCCCTTGGCACACTACTTTGGCAAGCTCTGACAGAGGCCTGCACAAACTAGAATCAAAGGCAGAAACCAGTGGCTTAATTAATTGTACATATTTCTCATTGATTTATGTCATTATCCCTTGATCCATCTTGACTCATGAGTTTGATTCTGAAAACCACCACTCGAATACTCCCAAGCAGCGGCAAAGATAATGCAATTCTTACAATTATCCCACAACACGTCTTCTCTCATAATTTTGATTCTGAATTCCACTTAAATCATCTGAGCAACAGCAAGATAATGCAATTCTTACAATTACTATCACTCCAGAAATTCTGCTATAGTAGCTCTAAGCAACACATTAACACCAACCACAGGCACGCGTTCAACAGGTTCAGCATGATTTTGCTGACCAAACAAATTGGATATTAAGCTGCACATCAATTGAACAAAGGAACTGCTAAGACTATAACACATCAATCCTGAGAGCGTGCATCAGAAATTTCCAGGGTGCAAGCAATCAATAGCTCCAGCCGATACTACTTCCCTTAATCTACATAGTTCACTACATGCTTCAAGGAGAAAGGGGACACTTCTGCTTCAGATGTGTGACCTTCTCCGGCGGCTTCATATCACATCTACTCACTCAGGTTGCATCCGCGGATGTAAGGGTGGTCATACTTTATATACCTTGTCCAGTATGGTCGGTACTTGGTCATTGCCAGCTCCAGCCATGGCTTCATGTTCCCATTGTAATGAGCGACAGCAGCATTGTCTATCTCCGAGCGGTCTATGCTTGGGTTGTATCCTAATCCAAGGACATGCCACGATTTGTCAAGGGGGTGCGTCAGCTTGTAGAACGTCATGAGCCCAGGTGGAAGTGTCCCAAGCTTCCAAAGAACCCTGTCTTCATTCTAAAAGAAGAAAACAGTAGGATAATGTGAGATATGATGCATCTGAACAATGATATGAAATCCTACAGTGGTGTTATTAATCTCACCATGGTTTGCCACTTGTGGTAGATCCCAGTAATATCTTTGTTCTTCCACTGCTTGAGATCAAAGATGTTCATCCCATAAGCCCAACCACAAGCATTAGGATCAAAGTTCCGAGCAATGTGTGGATTTGAGAAGTTAAGATACTTGTCAAAACGGTGGAAACTCTCTCCACAGGTAAACACCGCACCATTAACCATTCCGTTTAGATCAACATCCCACAATCCTGTCAAATCTTTCTGCACAACTATGTCGTCATCGAGGAAAAGTATCTTATCCAACTTTGGATAGATCTCTGGGAGATAAAACCTCAAGTGGTTCAGCATGGAAAGGTACTTGGGGTTACGGTACTTTAGGTTTGAAGAACCTGCTGAAAGAGTGGTGGGACGATCAGCCTTGAAATAAAACTCTTTCATGGCAGCAGACTCCAGTTGACGTAAAACAGGACAGTACGATGAGTTCAACCACTTAAATTCATCCACATTCTCAACATGGATAGTGGCCTTGCCAGGTGGGTTCAGCAAAAACCACATGTTCATGGCTCCAAAGTTCAACTTATCAGTCACAAGATGGAAAACATGTTTCTCAGGCTCCTGAAAAAGTTGTATCGACCATTATCGTTAGAAACAGCTATCATACAAGAGTGCATTGATAGGAGAATCTTGAAAATTACCTTAGCATTCATGATGGTTGAGTTTACAACAACAGAGGCAGCCAAGACATTGTCCGAGAAAAGTGCATAGTGGTAGAGCTCTGGATTTTCCAAGTTCTCACTCCTCGGGAACTTCCGTTTCTCCACAGGAAGGAGATAGTAATCTATTGTTAAGCGCATAGACAAGCAGTGAATGCTGTTTGGAATCGTCTTTGCAGCCAACTGGCTGAGAAATGTGCTCTGCTTCTTCAAGCTCCTGACCTGTTCATCTGCTGACTGAAGCATTGCCCTTAGTCTCTGACTTATCACCTTGCAATCATACAATTCTTCTCTGGCCTTGGTTAAAACTTGACCCATCGCTCTCATTCTATCAGGTGCACTGTAAAGTAGCATACTTGTGAAAAGAGAGGAACAAGGTAACTGAGTAATAAGAAATAAGCAATAGTACTTTCGACGCAGCACACCTGCGATGAAGGTCAGCATCTGCAGTAGCCTCTCCTACAGCCCGATGGCTTTCCTTGATTCGGCTCTGCAGTTCTTGATAAAGACCATGCTTGTTCTTTGATTTTGCAAGCACAGAGTAAACACGAGCCATAATAATTTGGTCCCTCATCAACCTGACTGTTGAATCTGAGTTCTCATTCTCATTCTCTTTTCTCCATATGCTGTATTTCCCAAGGACAGCAGAATCTACAGCCTTCGATCGCTCAATAGCCGCATTCTCCAGCTTAACAAGCGCTTCATCATCTTTCCGTACCAAATCCATTGCCCTCTTTTCCCGCCTTATCTCCCGTAGTTTCTGTATCAACCAAATAGTACCAAGACGTCATATGGAAGATTTATATCAAGTTATCAACAGAGACAAGAATGTATCAACATATATACCAGTTACTTACCCTTCGAGCTATTTTTGCTGCTGTATCAACTTGATGTCCATCTGCATGGACAATAACTTTACTATCTACTACCTAGTCAAATTATGTAAATGAATAACTTGAAAGAAGAAAAAACAATTATATCTATACCTGAACCATCCTTGGGTGATTTATATATTAGAGGTACATGTTCTGCAGAACTGTTTTGAGCTTTTGCCTTGTCGTCAACAACCAAATTAGTATTCATCTTGTGATCAACTAGATCATCATTTTTCCAAGAAGGAGAGGGATGATCCCTAAAGAAGTCAAGATTCAGAGTGCCTGTTTCTTGTTGACTAGTAGCTATAGCATCGATTACCTGAAGATCAATAAATTGGATGACTATAAGTACAGAGGAATTGAAGAAACTTAAGGTTTCATATGTTGAACAGCATAACAGTTCGAACAAGATAGTCTAAACTAAGTACAGCCTCATAAAACAGAAATATAGAATTGAAAGATAGGCATGTACTCTACTAACTGCAAGATGTTCTGACCTCCTTAGACAAAACAGATTTCAGATTGTTTGTTGCCAGTTGCTCTTGCCAATCTGTTTCCTGCAAGACAGGCTTCAATGTGAGACGAATCATAAAAAGTAAGGCTGGTAAAATAAATTTGACTCCCTTTTAGAATGGATAAATACCTGGTTGCCATCAGCACCCCTGGGATCTGCAAACGAACAAAATATGCCATCACTTATTTATCTCGAGTTAATAAAATGTTGCTATCAAAAATTACAACAAAACATTGTTCCTAAATACTAACAGCTAACAACAAAAAAAGGCAAGTAAGATTTTAGCCGATGATAAAGCAAAAGACAACTCGCCATGCTTAAGACAATCTTATCCTTTTCGTCCCATCATGGTTCAGTTTGCACAGATAAGTGTAGGTTCGATTTGTTATCACTACTACTATGCCATGGGTATGCATTACGGCTTCTCCTAACAGCAGCCATACATCCAACCTACGAATGACATACAACCTGGCACCAAGAGAGCAAAACAGGATAACACTATCCAGATCTCTTGAATCAGAACGTCCACTGCATCTCACAGGTTCGTGATCATTCACAGTTCCGTCTATTACCTTTTGGTTTTACAACCAAGCAACACGTTGCAGCTACAGTTCCCATCTAACCCTAGGAAGTGCCCACAGGCTGAGGCCAAACCACATCGATAGCTGAATAACAATCCTGAACCACTAAAATCAAATCTACACGGCGGAGTCCACTCTCGCGGTACCCTCGCCAAATCAAACCGCAGAAGCGCGTCAAACTCGCGGCCCAGGCGAATCCAAGCGCGGATGGACCAATCTAGACGCAACGGGACCCGAAATTAAGAATCGATGGCGCCTCGTACGAAATCCATGGCATAGGGAGTGGTCTCTCTAGCAAAAGTGGCCTGGAAAGTGAGGCGGGGGCGAACCGGACGCGACGTGGACGTGGCCGCCGCTGCGCACGACGAAGAAGATCGACGGCGCGAGGACGAAGAGGAAGACGAGGACCACCACCGGCGGCAGCGCGCCGGAGCCGCGCCTCGCTCCGCCGCCAGCGCCCGCGGAGGAGTACGGGAGCCGCTTCGGGGACGCCATCTCCGGCGACGCGTGGTGGGCGGAGGGGGAGGGCCCTGGTCCGATCCGGTCGGAATGCTGCTGCGGCGGCGGCGAGGGGCCCGCCGTGCGCTCGCCTCCTTTCCCCCCTTCTCTCGCCCTCGCCTGCGGGGGAGTGTTGGGAGTGGCGTGGGGTAGCCACGAATGGCAATGGAGGAGTTCAGGAAGGATCGCGTATCGCTTTGGTTTGGTCTGGGTAGTACTGCGGTATCTGGGCCCACGCGATCGAAGCCCACGACGGACGTGTGGGCCGGTTGGTTGGTGCCTTACTGATGGGCGTACGCAATCGAAGCCCACGACGGACGTGTGGGCTGGTTGGTGCCTTATTGATGGGTCTACGACGGATGTGTGGGCCTGTTGGCGCCTTAAATTCTGTAGATTTTATTCAACAGTGTGGGTGCAAATGAGGTCAGCCAGGTGCCCGATATTTATTGTCAAGCAACGGGGCAACGGGGCAAATCTTCCGTCTTCTTCAGCAAAGGGGTTCCAGAAAATATTCGAGCTGAAATCAAAGGTTGTCTCCAAGTACCCAACCAAACACCGAATGAGAAATATTTGAGAATGACATCGGATGTGGGATCGTCAAAAAATGGTGCTTTCAAGTTTATAAAGGATCGTTTATGGAGCAAATTCAAGGCTGGATCGAAAAAAACCTTACCCACTGCGGGGAAAGAAGTCTTGGTTACATTTGTGTCGCAAGTGGTGCCAGTCTTTTCCATGTTCTGCTTCAAGCTTCCTAGGGGTCTGTGTGAGCACTTAAACATGTTGATAAGGAAACTCTGGTAGGACTGTAAAGATGGCCATCGACAGCCAATCTGGGTCTCTTGGGAGGATATGACACAACCCAAAGTGACAGATGGTTTGGGATTCAAGGATTTCGAATTGTTTAATTTGGCAATGCTTGCTAAGCAAGGCTGGCGAATCGTCCAACTACCTGAGTCCCTTGGTGCTCGCATTCTTGAAAGTGTCTAATTCCTAATGTTGGAGATATGCCCTAGAGGCAATCATGTATGATGATATTTCCTATGTGTTTATGAATAAAGATAGTCCTTGGACATTATCAATGATGTGTATCAACAAGTACGTGACTTGTTTATGGGACTATGCATTGTATGATGACTGTCCTAAAAGGTCCCTAGTCGAAAGGGTTGTGTGGACGCGCAGCCGACTAGACTAGCATATGATACGGTCGATGGCTTAGTCTCCCTAGCCATGAAGCATTGGATGCTAACCGGATAATATGGACTCGGAAGGATCAGGTCGAATTCGACGTAGTCGAATCCGAGTCGAGATAAGGTCCGAGTCGGACAGACCCAACTATGAGACACAGCGATATGTCATATGTGAGTCTCTAGTACAACATACGTTCTATGTCCTAAGACCTGAGCTGACGCATGTACTCGGGATGGTGACAGACTTGCTTTGGGCCAACCTAACGCTACTCTATGATTGGGTAGTTACAAAGCTAGGTTTCGGGTTTGTCTAGTCCCATGCTGTGAGACATGGTCGAGCAAGATGGGATTTGCCCCTCCGATCAGGAGAGATATACTCTGGGCCCCCTCATGTGATCCGACCAGGATAAGCATGGCCATGCGACAAGAATTATGAGATAATCCGGTTTGTGGTCGGTATCACTGGAACGAGAAAGAGGTCGGGCTAGCACAAGGATGACAGTCTCGCCTTGCGCCCGACAACATATATCATGAGGCAAAGGGAACAGAAGTGTGACACGTTGTATAGGTTCGCCTAACCAGCTTCATAGTCTGCTTGGTGGTCGGATGCCTTGCTAGAGGCCGCTACCAACCGTGCAGGTCGGATGTGATCCGAACTGTGACCAAGCCGACTTGAACCTAAGGGGTCGCGCGCTTAAGGGAAGGAACCTGTGAGGCCGGATCGACTCCACGAGTCAGATATCATCCGACTCAGACTCGGATCCCGGCCGAACAGATTTTGGGCTTTAGGGTCCGTGCGAGGCCCAAGTCTTGAGCCCACAACGGACGCCTATATAAAGTGGAGGTGCGGAACACTCATTTGGTTGATCGCTTTGGCGCCGTCATTAGGGCTTTGCATGTGTTGAAACTAGCCACCTCCACGTGCCACTGGTTGTGTGATTGGACCTAGCAGTCCGCCGCACGTCGTTCCTCCTGCACGCGCGGATACCGTTAGGGACAGTGCACTTGCGCCACTCCGTCGAACCTGTTTGTGGGATCCGATCATCTACGTGGGAGACCGGCAAGGAGGATACGACTCCAGGAACGCGAGGCGGCTCCGGGAACGCGCTGCCTCAACTCTACTTCCGTTGCACGGCACTGCGCGTCTAGTGGTAACAATCTGTGATCCATCTCCCATAGCATGTTCTTGATTGTTCTGCGCGTAGGAAATTTTAATTTGCAGTCGATGCACCCTACCGTAGAACCCAATAGTGGTATCAGAGCATCTGCTATAGGATTTGGATTCATATCGTATGCATATTAGATATGTGGAGGCGGCAGATGAGTTCTGTTGTCGTTGATGAGATCGATTGTGTGCACGGTTGATGAGATCAACTGCACATAGGGATCAATGAGGCTATGTTTTCTGATGATCGGAGTTGATGAGGTCGTGACACAACCTACCCCTACCGATCGGTATCCGCCATCGGGGTTAACAGTGAAAGGTAAATCCGAATCAGACTCGCGATGATCGATCACACAAACCGGTAGAATGCAATTCTATGCGTAACTTTGTTTTGCAGGTTTGATGTGAATAGTATGGCTCATGTGTATGTGATGCATGTGTGTAAATTATACATGGCCTGCGTGTCATGTTTGTCAGTCGGCATGAGCCAAAGTGTTGTCATTATAATGTATAACGACATGTGTGTCGACTTGTGACTCTATGTAAAATTCATTACTAGTTGTAGTAGTTGGATAATAGAGATCAGGTTGGTGGCTTGGCGTCCTGGCGTGACAAACAAGATGGAGTTCCTAGATGGTCATCAGAGTCGGAGCTGACCTGGAAGAACGTCCATGAAGGAGTCATACTATTTCGTAATATGTGTTTATTTGTGATTGTTATGCTTCTTTGTTTCTATGCATGTTAGAATGGTATAATGATCCCTCATGAATATCAAGCGAATTGCCATCCCCGATGTTGCACCTTCGCACGTCAAGTACGTCTAGTAGTGGGCTCATAAAATTGGGGTGCTGCTGGATGTCCTTGAACTGAAGGGTTCGTGTCGGACACGGACATGCACTGCATCAGGTTAACTTGACAAGGCTATCAAAATGGTTTTTGGCCTTATGGCAAAGAAGGTTGGGAGCCGGGGTATAAGATACCTACCCGACCGACAGGAGTCGCATAGAGATACGATTAGTAAGGAGTTGGTTACCATATAGGTATGTTGGCTAGCAGTGATGCTAAAGCTCACTAGTCGCATGCACTAGTCGGATCCTGAATCACTAAGAGTTTGCGGAGGGATGATGACTTCAGTGGGAGTATTTCTGTTAAGGCTTGAATTACTCTACATAAACACATTGCTTAGTGATTGCATATTTTCTGTTGTAGATCAATGGCACCACCTGCTCAACCCAACTTTGCATTGAAATCAATTCTGGAAAAGGATAAACTAAATGGAACAAACTTTACCACCCGATATAGAAATCTGAGAATTGTTCTCAAGCATGATAAAAAGGAACATGTTCTAGAGGATCCACTTCCAGAGGAACCTCTCGATAATGCTAATACCACAACCAGGAATGCCTACCAGAAACTCGTTGATGAATCAAACGAGATCAGCTGCCTCATTGTCGTGGTGGGCGGACTGCAGATGCCAAGGGATGGCTAAAGAGAGGAGGAGGCTCGAGGGCGCTGGTGGGCTCCAGAGGCGAGGTTGGCATGAGCGGGCGCAGGACGCCGGACATACCCAGGTTTGGGGCTCTCCGGAGAGATAATACCCCTAGTCCTGCCGAGTGTTGTTTGGATGTTTGATAGTACAATGCTGCTCCTAGAGCTGTATGGGGGAGGAAGGAAGCTGGCCAAGGCTTGGGCTGCTCCTTCTCTCTAGTGTTGCTTTGGTGGCTAGTCCTGTGCTTACTTGCCTTTCTCTTGTTACCTCTCTACGTGTCTCTGAAGGAAATATGTCCTAGAGGCAATAATAAAGTTATTATTTATTTCCTTATATCATGATAAATGTTTATTATTCATCCTAGAATTGTATTAACCGGAAACATAATACATGTGTGAATACATAGACAAACAGAGTGTCACTAGTATGCCTCTACTTGACTAGCTCGTGAATCAAAGATGGTTAAGTTTCCTAACCATAGACATGAGTTGTCATTTGATTAACGGGATCACATCATTAGGAGAATGATGTGATTGACTTGACCCATTCCGTTAGCTTAGCACTTGATCGTTTAGTATGTTGCTATTGCTTTCTTCATGACTTATACATGTTCTTGTGACTATGAGATTATGTAACTCCCGTTTACCGGAGGAACACTTTGTGTTCTACCAAACGTCACAACGTAACTGGGTGATTATAAAGGTGCTCTACAGGTGTCTCCGAAGGTATTTGTTGAGTTGATGTATTTCGAGATTAGGATTTGTCACTCCGATTGTCGGAGAGGTATCTCTGGGCCCTCTCGGTAATGCACATCACTTAAGCCTTGCAAGCATTGCAACTAAAGAGTTAGTTGTGGGATGATGTATTATAGTATGAGTAAAGAGACTTGCCGGTAACGAGATTGAACCAGGTATTGACATACCGACGATCGAATCTCGGGCAAGTAACATACTGATGGCAAAGGGAACAACGTATGTTGTTATGCGGTCTGACCGATAAAGATCTTCATAGAATATGTAGGAGCCAATATGAGCATCCAGGTTCCGCTATTGGTTATTGACCGGAGACGTGTCTCGGTCATGTCTACATAGTTCTCGAACCCGTAGGCTTCGCACGCTTAACGTTACGATGATAGTTATATTATGAGTTTATATGT